CTTTGTGATGACTTTCCCGATGAACTGGGCACAGCAAAATCTAAACTTCTGGATTATATAGGTAAGATTAAGTCAATGTGTGTATCAGTGTATCAGTATATATCAGTGATCAATATAGTCATTATTATCTCAATACATTAGGTCAGTCTATACCTGATAATACCATATCCATTAGTTCAATACCTGATGATGTTCAAGGATATGCTGACAACATGAGACAATACTACAAACACCAACCTATTGTTGCTACAGACTGGCCACCAAAGATTGGAAAAGATTCCTATTTTGGAAGATTAGTTCTAGTAGAAAAAAAAATGTCCTGCAGTACACCAGCAGAGTCAGATTGGTATTACACAAGAGGGCAAGTTGATAAAATAGTTCAACTAAGTGGAAACAAAGTGATAAATGTTGAAGAAGTCCTCGATCCCACAAGTTGTCCTCTATCTCTCAGAGTAGTAATAGACGGTCCTCCTGGTATTGGCAAGACAACACTCTGTCGTAAACTGTTAAACATGTGGTCTAATGGAACACTTGGACCCCAACAGTATGACTTGGTGCTTTACTGTCCTTTAAGGAATAGCAAGATAGCTACAGCAACTACACTAGCTGGCCTGTTTGAGTATGAAAGTTCTAAAGTTCCAAAAGCATTTGATTGGTTTAGGGATAGAGATGGAGAAGGATTACTGATAATCTTTGATGGTTGGGACGAACTAAGTGAACAAGACAGAGAGTCCTCATTAGCTGCTAAAATTATTCATAGGAAGAATTTAGACCAATGTTCAGTAATTGTTACCTCTCGTAGCTATGCCTCTTCTTCACTTTTAAAAATGGATACTCTCAGTAGACATGTTCAGGTTATTGGGTTTTCTCAGGAAGAAATATCAACAGTAATTATACAAACACTTCAGAAAGATACAAAACTAGCACAAAAACTCATTGATGAAAACACTGAGCAAGACACTGAAGAAGCAGAAACTGACAAAAAACCAAGATTAAAATACAAATTACATTTAACCACTGCTCAAAGCAGTGAGGACTCACAACTAGCAGTGAAACTCATTAATGATCTCAAAGTACGTGGTGATGTTCGATCATTGTGTTATGTACCACTAGTCTGCTCCATGGTCATCTTAGTTTATTGTAAGGAAGGAGGACACTTACCAACAACACTCACTCAACTGTATGAGAACTTCATCTTGCAAACTATCAGAAGACACATGAATAAACATGACATTAACCCACGTACTTTAGGTAGTCTTTCTTCATTACCATCACAATTGGCTAGGCCTTTACAAGAGATGTGTCAATTAGCTTATACTAACCTGGCTAATAGAGCAATGGTATTCTCTTTACATGAAATACAGTTACTGAGTGAGGCAGTCAAGGAAGACTATCTCGGATTGATGACAACATTCACAGAATATGATGAGGAGAAGTATCAGTTCCTTCACTTGAGTATACAGGAATTTCTAGCTGCATGGTGGATAGCTAAGCATGAGGAGAAGACAGAGGAAGTGTTTAAGCATCACTTTGATGATGATCACTTTCGAATGTGTCTGAGGTTTGTAGCAGGTCTAACTCACCTTGAACATGACAGCTATCAACAGTATTTTAATAAAAAGGAGATTCAATTACAATGTAAAAGAAAGCCCTTGTTAAACACTTATCTCCCTCACTTCTACCAAAATCCTCTAATTAGGCAAACAGTGAGTGTAATAGAAACATTTCACGTATTTTATGAGCTTGACAATGTTCCAATTCTTCATCTTCAACTCCTGTATGAATCGCAAAATGAAACATTATGTCAAGTACTAGCAAAATCTATGAATGAGAATTCTCTGTGTCTGCATATTAAGCAAAGGGTATCAACTCTATCATTGTTTGACTGGTTGTGTCTTGGTTTCTTCATAAACAATTCCAAAATAGAATGGGATCATTTGCACCTGGGGGTTGTACCTAACCAGGCACTGTCAGTCTTTACAGATAAACTAGCTAATAGTTTGTCAGAAACAAAGTGTAAACGATTGGAGGTATGGTTGCATGAACCCAATGCTAGATTAATAAACCAAATATTGGAACCATCTCTTTTCTACAATATTCATGAGTGCTACTTTGAATTATTTAAAGGTACTTATGTTCCTTGTCTTGTGTTGTTACAGTTCCTTAATCTTCCTCAAGTGAAGATACTGCACTTGATAATGGAAGATCCAGATGTACCAACAATTGATGATATAGATCTATGCTACACAGATAAGTCCACTGAACTTGAGAAATGTATAGCAGTACAAGTAAAGCTACTTGAAGAAATGAATTTTAATTATCGTGGTACAGAAGAAATAACAGGGACACTTGTCAGTGTCATCAGAGGAGTAGAGCTAAATAAAACAATTACATCCTTGTCACTATCCATATCTGTTCGTCAAAAAGTTCCTCCTGCTCGTCTTCCCAATGGAGCAATAGAGCAGTTACTAAAGGACAACAACACATTACAAGCTCTTTCACTGGACATACCTGATGAACTACTACCATCATCACTGAATATAGTAGAAGTGAACACACCACTAACTGCTCTAGAGATAGGAGAGGAGAGTAGTGAACTGATGACATCATCACTCCTTCCACATATCAAAGGATTACACTGTCTGATACTACATGAACCATACCCACCACGTCTTCTATTTTGCTCATATCCCAGTCTACATACACTTACTTTACCATTAGACACAGCTGAAAGTGCTACTGAACTATTTACTATTCTACAAACCAATACTACGCTTAAAACTCTGAATGTAGAAATAGAGGAGAGTGTATATACCAGCAAATGCAACATGGGTACTAGTCTACAAGTCATGCTAACCCAAAACAAAACAATTGAATACTTTGAGATTAATAACGACATTCCCAGTTCATTCCTGCCCTTTCTAACAGCTGGTCTCAGACACAACACCAGTATCAAGCATTTGAATGTATACATTCCATTGAACACAGGAGTAACATACTTTATTGAAGCAATTTCAAAAAAGGATAACCTCAAAGAAATTAATTTGAACTTCATACTAGAGCTAGATCAGTCATACAGCTGTAGTGAGGAACAAATAATGACACCATTGTTTTACGAACATTTACTACCTGCTGTCACCAGCATGTTACAATCACACACAACCATCATAGAACTGAGGATAGGATGTACACACATCAATGGAGACTGGTCTGAACCTCACTGGATAGAACTAGTAAAAAAATTATACGATACTATCTTCATTCATCCTTCCCTTGAATATATTGAATTTAATAAAAATTGCACAACCCGGTTTACCCATCCTCCCCTGGAGGATACTCTTAAAGATCAAGAGGTGACATTGATTGAGAGACACAGAAACGAGCAACCAGGCAAACCACTACCAATAGTGGACCTTAATATAATCAAATTAATTGACACTTAAAATAGAACAATTAAACACTGCTGTTAGTAACTAGTGAGTGAGATAGTAAAAAACAAAGAATAACTAAAGTGTGTGTGTGTGAGATACAGACATGGGGTCAATTACAATACAAAGTAATAATTTACTATTATTATTACTATTACCTCAGATAGTTAAGAAGGAATTAGAAACTTATCATTTTCATTTTAAACAAGTTATTTTAGTTTAAAAAAAGAATTATCTTTTAATGAAAAAATTTTGTGTACATTCAATAAGAGAGATTTTATAGTTATAATGCTTGTTGAGAAGGAAAGTGATCCAGCAATTCCTTGTCCAGCTCTTCTTTGCCCCGCATTGACTCTCAACTGCAAATTCTTTGAAACTGAAAGCATAGAAGTGTGTTGCACATGTAGGGTTAAAATGAGTCAGGTTTTGAATGCCACTTATCCTGTATTAAAGACTGACCTAGAAATAAGAATTAAAAAGAAATAAAATTACCTTAAGGTTACTTTTAAATGCGGGTACTATTAATTGCGAACTTTGCGTTTGGGTTAAAAATCGCAATTATTAATACATGCAATTATTAATAATGACATCATGATGCCATATAACTATTAGTAATAATTACTTAATCGCAATTTTTAATACCAGCAAAATCTACTTTGTGCTAAAATCGCAAAATTTAGTACTCGCAATTAAAAGTCACTCTAAGGTAGGTAACATGCATGTAAATGCTAGTCACCTACATGCATAATTAAACATGTACATGTATTACTGAAAAACATTATGAACTCACTTGTAATGACTACCTGCAAGCAAGTAAAGATGACACAGGTGTCTTTCAAGTTTTAATGTAAATCAGGTTAATTTCTTAGTCATAAAATAATACCTTAAAAGAACAATTTATTAAAATTGACATTGGACACTTTAATTTTCAATGAGTGAACTAACTAAAAACACAACAGGACATACCATATAGTGCTTTAATTTGGCATATATTTATTTTAGAAATTAGCGATTTGCAAGCAGAATTCCCAATATTAAAACTGCCAATCATTAATGCGTATGCTCAGTAATGCACGTGTACACAAATCGCCAAATTAAAAACCACCAATTATAATTTTACAGCCAAATCGTCAAAATAAAGTACTGTATGGTAGGTCCTTTTGCTTTGTCTTTGACTAATTATCACTTGATAATGAAATATTTATCTTTATGAGCAGCATATGAGTGTCAGCTGAATTGCTTTGGTGGCCCAATTTTTGGCAACTTTAAAATTTCATAAAAAATCCAA